ATACTAAATTATTGATCGCTCGAACATTATTAATATTAATATTTTTTCCATTTTCACAGCCCATTTAATATAAAATAATAATAATATAACAACTTTCATCAAAGTAATGCATTTTATACATACATACGCTTAAAAGTAGTTTAAAAAACATTGAGAGATACAAATCCCTTAAAATTTTTGGCAGATATCGATTGGAACTTATTTAAACCTTTACTAAAGCCAAAATTGTTATTAAGTAAACTACAAAAACAAAAAAAAATAATAATAATAATTTATAAAACACAAACCGAAACAAAAAAATTATAAATCGAATTTTACTTAACTGTAATAATTATAAAATAATAATTTAAAGAAAAATTATAAAACTGAAAAAAGACTTAAATATAATCAAAAATATCTAAAAAGTGCTCAATAACGCCAAAATCGAACTCCACATTGYCAAATTAGACGGTGCAATGTTTTCAATTTCTCGCGCACTCTTCCACACTTTCGTTACCGGCAAATGAATGCGTTCGCAACGCCKAACTGTACCACAAATATAAATATTACAATATTATTTAGCATTGTGTCTTAGAGGCGCGCAAACAGCCATAGCAACACACGCCACACACAAATCTCAAAATCTAATACTGGCGCTAGCGGCGGCRCATACCAAAGCCGCACTTTTGTTGCGGTGGCGCTGTTGGTGGTGGTGATGGCTGTAGGTGCCGGTGTATGGGTGAATCGCGCGTGATTAGAGCTTAGAACGCACACTCCTTTGTTTCTATTTTCTATTTTCAGTTGGAAAATGCATGGAATATGCAAAACTCAGAGTGTRCAWGTGTGYGTGAGTGTGTGCGCTGTCTGGCTGTGAATGAACGGTAGTTTACGTTTCGGAAAACGTTGATTTTTGGCAAAAAGACGCGAAAACTGAAGGCGAAAGCTTAGAAAATGAAAACCATATGCGTGCGTGTGTATGCGTGTGTGCGTGTGTGTTGCACAGTGCAGTGTTTAGAAGATGCATAGAATGAAAGATGCTAATAAATCAGTGGATGCCACGTTTAGTTGCAGCTGAGTATATTATGTATTTACTGGCTACGTAGTTTTTCTCTTGCTGGTTTTGTATGCGTGCGAATTCGTTAGAAATTTCATTGTACATACCATRCATATGTGGGGCGGAAATGATTTTTATGTTTTTCAGAGATAAATGTATGACATATTTTCAAATTTAAGGTTTTAGTTAGATAATTTAAGTAACAGGATGTTAATTTTTTTTTGTTATGTTGATTTTTTTGAAAGTTTTTCTCTGTTCGGGTTAGTTTTTTTATAAATATAAAAAAAAATTTTTTTTTTTTTTAATAATTCTAATTTGAAATCATGAATTTTTGTGTGAAAATTTGAAGCAATAGAAAATTATTTTCAAAAAAAATTACTAAAAAAAAAAAATTTATACTATTTTCGAAAAAGGATTTTCCCAATTATTATTACTATTTTTT